CCCACAGATCCTGACAGACAGTGGAGAAAACCTTCCTCCACATTGTAAAGAATGGAGAAGGGTCCTCATGATCAGGGGACACAGGCCTACCCAAGACCAGTCCCGTCCCTAACAGTTACTGTACAAAGACCCTACCATCACCCTGCCAAAGGAATCCAAAGCCTTTCAACCTGTTGTGCTGGGAGGGGCACTCCTGGGACCAGAGCATACCCATGGGATATGTAAACATGCACACACACAAAAATTTCACTCAATGGTCTTAGACAACCTGGGAAGCAAGACCTCTTAACCTGGGTTTCATACATGGATTCAGAGGACCTGCGAAATATAGAGCATGTGGGCATTTATGTGGGAAGCTGGCCGAGAGTTTTTTTTTCAGATTATCAAAAGTCTTCCTGACCCCAAAGCAGGTGAGGCACAACTATTGCAGCAATTACTTAAAGCCGTACACCACTCTCTCAAGTCTTGAAGAATTTCAGAGCAGAAAATGACGGTGGAAGCCATGGAGTTCATGCCCCTCACTTTACAGAAAAGGCAACTGGAGCCAGGAGGTAATTCCCATAGCCTCCTGGCGGAGGGGAGTCCCTGGGTGGTGTAAACAGTTAACACACTAGGCTGCTAGCCAAAAGGTTGGGGGTTCAAGTCCACCAGAGGCACCTCGGGAGAAAGGCTTGGTGATCTACTTCCAAAAATTCATCAGTGAAAACCTTATGGATCACAACAGAACATTGTCCAACTCGCTTACTTTGGACATGTCATCAAAGGGATCAGTTGCTGGAGGAGGACATCATGTTTGGTGAAGTACAGGGCCAGCGAGGGCAAGAGAGACCCTCAGTGAGATGGATTAGCACAATAGCTGCAACTCAAGAAGCTGCTATATTTTGTTAAGGGAGCATTACGGCATTTGAATTTACCTGCCTACCATCTCCCACTCCCCAGCTCAGCGACAGCCATGAGGACAAAGGCTCACATTTCTGGTGTGTCTTGCTGGTGCCAATGGGGGCAATACAGACCTTGTTCTCAAAGAATTGTGGTTGTGTGTTTTGATCTGAGGGATAAGCTCAGGGGCTTGCCTTTGTTTTACCTGCCTAGGAACCTTCTCAGGGCTGGAGTGGCCTTCTGGGCAAATTTGTCTAAAGCATTTAAAGGCAAATATACTAGGCACAGCTGCCTGGGGCAAGCAGCAGATAGACCAAAATGTGTGGAAAGGAAAAGGCTGGAAAAGGAGATACATGAGGAATTAGGGCTTTGAAAAGCTCGTGCGTTATAATGGGAACTCTAGAAGTCCACGTGCATGTCCAGGGCTGAACACATGCCCAGAAAAGACTTGAGAATAACCAAAGCTTTCACCTCTGTCCAACCTTTTGACTCTGCATAAGCAGGAAGTGAAGGCTAAAGCAGAGTTGTAAATGGCCTGGCTAAGCCTTGAAGGAGTGCTGTAGTATTAAGCCAATCCACAAAGACCAGCAGGATTTTTTTTTTAATCCAGACATTTAAGGAAATCTTTATCAAATCACGAGCTGACAATGAAGCTAACAAAACAGAAACTCCAATGACCACACATGACACAGGATACACACTTTACAAAACAGTTCAGAAGAGTCACTAAACTCCAGCTAAAAACTGTGACATCATCAAAGACTCTTCCCTCTCCTTGCCCTCTATGTAATCAACCACCAGATCCTGCGGACTCTGTTTCCTTATTTTCTCTTGAATCTTGTCATGGATTGAATTATGTCCCCCCCCCCCCAAAATGTGTGTATCAATTTGGCTGGGCCATGATTCCTGGTATTGTGTGATTTTCCTATATGTTGTAAATCCTGCCTCTATGATGTTAATGAGGGAGGATGGGTGGCAGTTTTGTTGGTAAGGCAGGACTCAATCTACAAGATTGGATTGTGTCCTGAGGCGATCTCTTGAGCTATAAAAGAGAGAAGTGAGCAGAGAGACAGGGGGACCTCATACCACCAAGAAAGCAGTGCCAGGAGCAGAGCGTGTCCTCTGGACCCGGGGTCCCTGCGCAGAGAAGCTAGTCCGGGGAAACATTGATGAGAAGGCTGACAGAGTGAGAAAGCCATTCCCTGGAGCTGATGCCCTGAATTTGGACTTTAAGCCTACTTTACTGTGAAGAAATAAATTTCTCTTTGTTAAAGCCATCCACTTGTGGTATTTCTGTTGTAGCAGCACTAGATGATTAAGACAAATCTGTTTTTCGTTTTCATCAGCTTTGCCACTTTTAGTTTAGGCCTTCATTCTATTTTCTGTCTGGATTATAGCAATCGATCTTGTATTAATCATGATTCTGGGTTTCCCATGTAAGAAACCCAGCTCCAACTGCCTTAAGCAAGAAAAGAAAAAAAGGAGAGGGGGAGAATATGAAGAATTTATTGGCTTATATAACTGAGAAGTCTGAAGAGTGGAATTTATTTCAGGCTTGTCTGGATGGAAAGGTTCATATGATATTATCAGGACTCTTTCCCAACACTTTGTCTCCAATGGGCAGGTCCTCACAGTAGGAAGATGGCCACTGGAAATCCCAAGCCTACACAAGCCCTATAGCTATTAATTCCATAAAAGAGCCCAAACATCTTTCTTGAAAGCTTCAGCAGTTCTCAGATCCTTCTACCATTAAATCCAGAATGAAAAAATTGGACCTTTTTTGCTTTCAAAACTATTCGTGGAGGTCATTTTTTTTTTTTAAGATTTAATTTTATGAGACTTTTTACTTGTTGCTACCTAATTAAAGTTGGATGATTAATAGGTGACAGTACTATTGAAGCACTTTAGAGACCAGATTATATTGACTCAGCCCCTAGCTATGACATGGGCAGCATGTTGTTTTTTTTTTAATTTTACTTTAAGTGAAGGTTTACAGAACACACTAGCTTCTCATTAAACAATTAGTACACATTGTTTTGTGACATTGGTTACTAACCCCACGACATGTCAACACTCTCCCCTTCTCGACCTTGGGTTCCCTATTACCAGCTTTCCTGTCGCCTCCTGCCTTCTAGTCCTTGTCCCTGGACTGTTGTGCCCCATTAGTCTCATTTCGTTTTATGGGCCTGTCTAATCTTTGGCTGAAGGGTGAACCTTGGGAGTGACTTCATTACTGAGTTAAAAGGGTGTCTGGGGCCATACTCTGAGGGTTTCTCCAGTCTCTGTCAGGCCAGTAAGTCTGGTCTTTTTTTGTGAGTTAGAATCTTGTTCTACATTTTCCTCCAGCTCTGTCCGGGACCCTCTACTGTGATCCCTGTCAACATGGGTATTTTTTTAGGAAAGGCTTTGTGGTCACTGCTTTTTCCACCATTAAGTGCTAAGACACAATGTGCCCAAATGGAAGTGGTGCTAGAATTAGAGTCAAAAGGCCAGAACACTAGATGTCCCATTTTTCCTGCTGATCTGCAAGACCTTGAGCAAGTCACTTTACTTCTATGAGTCTTGGTGTCTTGCCTGCTGATTTGCAAGAGCTTGAGCAAGTCATTTTACTTCTGTGAGTCTGTATCTTCTATGGTGTCTGTATCTCTGAAGTGAGATAATCATGCTAGTATTGCTCACTTCACAGAACTCTTTCTAGTATCAAAGGAGATTAATTAATCAGTCTACAAATATGAGTTTTTTTTAAATCATTCCTATGATTATGTAAAGGAGCTTTCATTCTCTCCTAGTTCCCAGATTTGCAGAGGTTAACAGTGTAGACTGCATACTTTGCTGTCTCCTATGAGGAGGGAATCAAACCACCACTGAATTTAGTGTGTTCTTCTCTTTGGCAAATCATATATTATATGATTTAACAACCCAAGGGACAAGTTTAACAGGTGCCTGCATAGCAAGTGGGGATAACTTATGGTTTTTCTCCTTGTTGGTAACAGGGAAGGAAAAGGATGAGAGCGGAACATGGAAACTGGCAGCAATGCTGTTCCATTTTTATTTTTTTCTCGAAGATTAATCTTATGGAGAAAGCCTCTTCCTATTGGAAAGCCAAAATTTTGATGGACATCCAGTTGTCAGAAAAGTCCTACTCTCTCCATCAATAAAATAATTATTGAGTACTGTCTTAAGTTATCTAGTGCTGCTATAACAGAAATACCACAAGTGGATAGCTTTAACAAATAGAAATTTATTCTTAGTCTAGGAGGCTAAAAGTCCTAATTCAGGGTGCCAGCTCCAGAGGAAGGCTTTTTCTGTCGGCTCTGGGGGAAGGTCCTTGTCATCAGTCTTCCCCTCGTCAAGGAGCTTCTCAGCACAGGGACTTCAGATCCAAAGGACGTGCTCCCCTCCTAGTTCTTCATTCTTCTTGTTGTTGAGTGTTAACTTGCCTAGGCCATAATTCTCAGTGGTTTGGCAGTTATGATGTAGTTTTTCAGTCATATGGTGATGTGATCACTTCCATGATGAGATTTGATATAATGTGATCACTTCCATGATGGGATCTGCTGTGAGTAACCAATCAGTTGAAAGGGAGTTTCCTTAGGGGTATGGCATACATCAAATATTAGTGTACTTTCTGGCAAGGCTCACAGGCTTTTGCTCACTCTGATCCTGCAGCTGGCTCCTGTTCATCTGAACTCCAGTTCTTGGGACTTGAGCTAGCAGCTTACCTGCCATCTTGCCTGCCGATCTTGGGATTCATCAGTCTTCGCAGCCTGTGAGCAAGAGCCCTGCTGTCTGACTTGCCAATCTTGGGTTCGCTAGCCCCTGCAGCTACGTGAATCAGGAGAAGCCTCCAGCATGACCCACGTTCCAGCCTCTATAGCCGTGTGAGCCATTTCCTTGATATAAATCTCTATATATTTATACACTTTACTGGTTTTGTTTCTCTAGAGAACCCAGACTAAGACCAGTACCTACCGTGTGTGTCAAGCACTAGAAATAAAATATGAGCAAAGCATACAAGGTCATTTGCCTTATGAAATTTATTGTCCAACAAAGAAGGAAAAACAGTAAACAATTAAAAATTTAACCAATTGTAAAATTCCAGAGGTGCAAACTTTTCATCTGGGGAAGACTGCAGTTCATCGTCTCAGGATTTACTTAGATCATGGTACACTGCTGGGTAGGGATGGACAGAGCCACCCCTCATCTAGTCACAGCTATAGGTGGAAGGAAAAGCAAAACAAAGGAGGTAAGCTAGTGTCTCTTCTACAGAAGGGCTAGACTAATACTAAGAGGAACAAATTCAGCATGGGTGACTGGCATTTCTGTTCCTCATGTCATTTTTCAAGTTGCAGTTACATTTATGCATTTTAGGTGTGCAAGAAAAGTTGACAACAGACTATAAAAGATGTTTTAGGAAAGAACTGCTGGGACTGATCTGAAAGAGGAAACTGAAGTCTAGGAAATAGGAAGTGCTAAGTAGTTGAGAAGGAGCCCTGGTGGTGCAGTGGTTAAGCGCTCTGCTGCTAAGCATAAGGTCAGCAGTTCAAACCCACCAGCCGCTCCACGGAAGAAAGATGTTGCAGTCTGTTTCCATAAAGATTACAGCCTTGGAACCCCCATGGGGCAGTTCTACTCTGTTCTATAGGGTTGCTGTGAGTCGGAATCGACTGGACAGCACACAAGAAGTATTTGAGAGCAGGCCAGCTGCCCTGAAGCTGCGGCCTGGCTCCTGTGCTGTGGCCTGGCCCTGCTTCTCAGTATGAGGCCGAAGGTGCGCCCAGGGAAGAGTGGGAGGCTACTACAGAGGCTGTGGTCTGTACACACGCACACGCACATATGCACACAGACACACGTGTGTGCAATCATCCTTCCCTTTTTGGCACATCTCATCAGGAAGGGAGAAGGCTGTGAAACTTCCTGTTTCAAGTCTGTTTCTTCACAACTTCTAAACCTGCCCATCCTTTAGGAATACAGAAAAGAGAAACACTCACTTTTGCAAATGCTGCAATTCGGGAGGTAAATCACATCCAATGTAAGCACCATTTGTAATACAATATTCCAGTAAAGCACTGAAACAGGGCTCCTGTTTAAACAGAAAAAGGAAAAGAAGAGAAAAAAGAAGAGGAGTCACAAATCACACAAAAGCACTTGTGTTAAAAGTAAGAGAAAGGGGTCTGCATGTGCCCAGGTAGGTACTCTGCCCAGGTACCCTGGCCGGCTAATGAGGGAGGCAATGCAAACACAAGGACCCTGAGGCAGGAGGCCTCAGGCCTATGCTAATATGGGAACACTCCTATGCCCTGGAGGCTGGTGCACAGACTGTCTGCTCAGCAGGGACTCTCTCTTCATGGTCCTTCCTGGGCACAGGTCTCCAGCCCAGAGTGACTTAAATCACAGGGGTCAGGCAAAGCTGGCTGGACTCAGCCTCCACAGCATTTTCGGGTGACATGATACATTTTCCCTCTAAACCCTTCCCTTCTTGGTTAAACAAAAGGCCCACACTCACTTTGACCAGAATGTGAGGGTTTCCCAGCACAATCAGTAAAGCTTTGGTTCTGGTGATTGCAACATTAAATCTTTTTGAGTTGGCCAAGAACCCCAAAAAAACCTTATTGTCTTGAAAATTGATTTCACTCGATCGTACCTAAAAAAATAAAGAAATAATATGTATTTTTGTTGTCATGGAAAGAAATTCACAACATATGAAATAGTTTAGAAATGTCACAAATCACTGTCATTTTTGGAAAAACAACAGCAGAAACAAAACTATATCATCTACTTATATATACACCTGGAACAAAACGTTTAGAGGGAAACACTCCAAAATGCTAACAGTGGTTAACTGTTGGTGGCAAGATTTTGGATGAATTTTATTTTCTTCTCAGAATTTTTTAACTTATCTGCAATTAACATGTACTATGAGTTAAAGCAGCAGTCAAGAAATCAATTGACGTATTGCACTGGGCAAATCTGGTGCAAAAAAACCTCTGTAAAGTGTTAACAAGCAAAGATGTCACTTTAAGGACTAAGGTGTGCCTGACTCAAGCCATGGTATTTTCAATTGCCTCATATGTATGCAAAAGCTGGACAATGAATAGGGAAGACCGAAGAAGAATTGACGCCTTTGAATTATGACTGCCAGAAGAACGAACAAATCTGTCTTGGAAGAAGTACAGCCACAGTGCTCCTTAGAAGCAAGGATGGCGAGATTTCATCTCAAGTGTACTTTGGACATGTTATCAGCAGCAATCAGTCCTTGGAGAAGGACACCATGCTTGGTAAAGTAGAGGGTCAGCGAAAAAGAGGAAGACCCTCAACCAGACAGACTGACACAGTGGCTGCAACAACGGGCTCAAGCATAACAACTATTGTGGGCATGGCACAGGACCAGGAAGCGTTTCGTTCTGTTGTACATCGGGTCACTATGAGTCGGAACCAACCTGACGGCACCTAACAACAATAAGGCGAGGTGAATACAGATAATTTAAAAGCCTCTGTGCTGCTATTTCACTTTCTTCCCCTTTAATTTCCACCTCTTTCCTAACGCTGTAGTTGCCTTTTCTTGCAACATCTTGTCCCTGTCTCTAGTGCGTTTATCACCTTCCCCTGGATACCTTCCCTTTACTGTGTTCTGCACTTTGAATTAGAAAAAATCTTTTACAGTTACTGCTCGAGGAGTCTTCATCCCATAACTGAGAAAAGCCCAAAGGCTGTAATGGGTTACTGTTTAGTCTCTGTTTTGTGTATCTGAATGTAATGAAAACAGAAGCAAGAAAATTCCACTGTGTATCCCCACTAAAAACAGGGTTGCATACGGTTGAAATGATGATAGCCATATATTCTTGTCCTTGAAATTCCTCTACCGATCCAACCTTTATATCCATCAGATCTATGCTTCGCAAAACAATTCTGATTTTCTCCACCTTTAAAACAGACAAAACCAAGAGATTACAGATCTCATGTTATAGCCATTTATTTTTAAATAAAATAGTAAACTCAATATTAAGAAATGTACAATATCATTTTTCAAGTCTATACCATACTTCATCAACTCTAAAATGCTAAAATCCTGATTTTAGATATGTTACATTGGAGAAGAAAGGGTCAATGCATATGAGGATAGTAATCTTTCATGGGGAAAAATCCTCCATCTCCCCCAGGTCCATAGCAATGATAGAGTAATTGCATTTTGTAAAAAATAAAAAGATATATCCCCACCTAAAATTGAGATAACTCTCTTCCTTGACCAATAACGGATCCCAACAACAGAGGAAAATGGGAGCTGAAGCCACAGCCTGTCAAGCTTCAGAAGCAAAAATAAATTGCTGTGACCAGAAATACATATGCAAAGGGCTTTGGGTGGTGACAGGAGCAAGGTTCACCCACAGGAAGTGGGGAGGGGTGCTGAGAGGCAGAAGCAGTGGCTGTGCTTCTGTTGGTTCTGTTGCTGAGGCTGGTCATGGAGGCACTTGTTTTCCTATGACACGGTTACCAACACTAAACATAAATCTACTGTTTAAGGCTAAGTTTTTGTGAAGTAAAAGCATAAAATTATGACCTGCAACAACATCATGACAGTGCTTTCTTCTAGGGAGGAAAGGAGGTAAATAGAGCTGAGGAAAGGCATGAAGGAACCTACAATTTATCTAAAATATTCTGATTATATTAAACCTGAAATCCAAACCAATTAAAAAAACTTACCAGTCACCTACTATGTAAAAGGCACTATTATCTCATTACTAACACTTCTTGATCTTCCTTAGGTCTCCAAGTTCATTCTAATTCAGTAACTTAATCTAACACATATGTTCTAAGCACACATTAGGTGTCAGGCTCTCTGCTATGTGCTGGGAACACAGCGGATAAGGAGACAGATGTGGGTTTCTTACAGTGTAACTGGGGACTGACCGACCATCCATCTGACCATCCATCCGACCATCTGACTGTCCTTCTGTCCATCTGACCGAACAACCAATTGTCCATCCATCCATCCAATGACTGCCTCTTATTTGCCAGACTCTTGTTCTTGGTGCTGGGGACATACCAGTGACCAAGACAAAGACCCTGCTCTCACTGCACTTTGCTTCTGGTTGCAGGAGACAGGCAATAAACAACGAAACATGTAATAAAATGGAATATCAACTGCAGTAAGTACTCTGAGAAACAATGAAGGAAGCTAAGGGTATACAGTGTGACTGGGGAAGGGGGCCTATATTAGGATTGTCAGAGAAGGCATCTTTGGGGTGATAAAGGAGCGGAGACCTGAACGAAGGGAAGGAGCAAGTCATACCAAAGATAGGCAGAGGCAGCCACCCTAAGTTCCACCACGTTTCATGACGCCCTGCCTCTCCACATGCTGCCCCTTATGCCTGAAAACTCATACTCATCTTTCAAAGTTTGGCTCCAGTATCACCCTTTCCATGAAGCCTTCTCTGACTCTCCTAGTCAGAGTGCTCTTGGGGGGTTCTAGATCTTCCTAAAGGCGCTTTCTATCTGGCAGAGTAGATTGTGAATTCCCTGAGGGCAGTATTTGTGCCTCTTGTGTATGCACACTCAGGGACATAGTCCATTACCTGATAGATAGTAGGCATCTTTTTTCTTTTGAATGAATAAACCACTTTTTAAACAATGTTTACTACTTTCCTTCCAGAGTCTACCTGTATTCCTGAATCTGGCCCTTCTAAAATCTGATTCTATAGATTACTCCCTTCTTAATCTCTCATTCATTCTATGAATATTTATTGTATGCTACTCTGTGCTAGGGGCTGGTGATAGGCACAAAATCAGATCTCATAGGCCTTATGGTCAATTAGGAAGTTGCAGAGGATTCATTTGTCTATTCAAATACAGGTACTACAGGAACACAAAGGAAGGCCTGGAGCTGATGAGGGTGGTCTGGGAATGAGTCAGAAGGTTACGATTCCAGAAACATTACTTGTAGGTGACAAATAACACATTTAAGAGTGAAATCTAAAGTATGGCTATTATTTCCACACATAGTTCACACAACTGCAAGTTGGAAGTCACTAAGTGCAGGATGTCTTCCAAGAATGTGAAAACAAAGGAAAAGAGGCAGCCTTCTGATAATAAAATACAAGACCAATGTGTAATGGGTCACAGCAGAGACCTCTAATCTCTGACGATAGTAAGCTCAGGCTCTGGCTTCACCAAATGAGTTAAGCACAGAAGGTATTACTCAAAAGGGGGATCGTCTGGCCATGGAATCCTAAATATAGAAGCATCAGGGAGATGAGCTACGGCTGTGTCCCTGGCTGCCTCTCCCCACAGCACTCCAGAGGAGGGCACTTGCTGCCCATCATGAATGTCAGTCTGCTCCTGCTTGGGGTGATAACGTGGACTCACGGAACTCGATGCCTTTATACACTTCCATCCATAGCTCATTCCCTTCACTTTGTTGGTCCATCTGATAGTCATATTTCTTATGATAAAGTAGTAAAGAACAATTCTGGCCTCTAGGCTTGAGTTTCTTTTGAATCTGTATCAGTAAGCGCCATCAATACAATCATGTTAGAATGCCAGTCAGGCTGAGGTTCTTGCCCTTTAAGGTGAAGCCTATACTTGAGTTTCTCCATAGAAGTGCAAATGGCATTTTCAGCAGGTCATTTCCTCATTGGGAAGGAGTGTCCCAAGCATGACACATTGTGTCCCATGATCTGCTATATGCCAATAGTGCTTCCTAGTTATTGGGACAACCTAAAAGGGCCTCACCCATTTCTAAATGCTCACTGAAGGGGTAAATTCACCCCCCGTTTACAGTCACTGCTCTAGGCGGTGGCACATTCACCAAGGTAACACCATGTTGTAGCTAGTCACTAGGCCAGCCTCCTATAACTTAGATGTGTAGCTACACAGGCTTTACAATCTGAACATTACCCATTACTGTCATATTTTCAATACACTGAAAGAAAAGTCCATGGGGGTTTAAACCAAACATGGAGCATTTGTTTGTTAGACCTCAGAGGCTAAGTATAATTAGGCTAAGTATATTTTTTTTTACTGTTTAAGTTAGTTCCAACTGAAAGGATTTCTTATAATGTTTATGATCTACAAAAAACAAAGCAGTAAGAGAAGCAAGGAAGAGGCATGGGTTGGGCACTTTGAGAAAGACTAAAATGTGGAACATTAATCTAATAAATAATGAGAGGTAAGACCCATAAAAGTGGATAGTCTTGAAATATGTTTAAACTCGGAGAGACTCTTGGAGCCTATACTAAGTACATATGAAGAAGAAAGATGGGAACATTCTTCTACATTGGACATTGAACATAGCAAATAATTTGGTATTCATAAATCTGGCTTAGTGGTGTGGCATATGGTCCTAAAACAGGATGGTCAAGACACAGGGCTCAGGCTTTGGATTCTAGTTCCAACACTAACTAGCTGTGTGATATTCAGCAAATTACTTTTCTTGTTTGAGCCTTTGTAATCTCCTCTTTACAAATAGGAAAACTAAGTACCTAACTCATAGAAAACCATCTTCAGAGTAAAATAAGATAATGTCTTTTATAGGCTTTGCATAGTGCATGGCACATTAACATGTACTCTGTCTTAGCACCTGGGGACCAGAAATGCTAAATGTCCTATAATCATATGAAACAGAGCCACAAGGAAAGGATTTTCTCATCCAAAATACCAATAGTGGCCCTTTAAGAAACACCGGTTTTCCATTTAAAATGAGCTTATTTTTGCCTACACTGCACTCTATGAATGGCCAAAGAAGCAGGGCTGCAATGACATCATAAAATGAGGCTCTTGGTAAAGCAGCTCCATACCTGCTTCCGGTAGGGGGTGATCACACCAATATCACTCGCTGACAGGGCACTTGAGACACACTTGGTAAGAAGAGAGCAATAACGCATGACTTGCACGGCTTCAGCTGTATTGAACCACGAGGAGCTTCTTCCTTCCCGCAATTCATTGCCCTATGTTAAGGAGGGGAGAGACAAGAATGGAGCATAAATTACAAAAACATCATTTGCTCAGAAAGTGTTTATTAAAAGGCCTCTGTACAAGGATAACATTTTGCAAATCTGACCATTTACGAGTTAGGTGAAAGCAATAAATAAAACAGAAAAGAGCCCTATTCTTAGGGATCTCGCACCATAGCAGAAGACTGACATTAATTACATAATTACTAACAACTGTATTAAGTGCCTACAAAGAAGAAAGGCAGGCAGTACAAGAGTGCATAAATTGGAGAACTGATAACACCAAAATGGGAGTGGTGAGGTGGTCATGGAGGGATTCCTTTATGAAAGGGAGGCTGGAGCTGACTCTGAAGGGTAAGTAGGGATTCAATGGCAAAGGGAGCAGGATGTAGGAGAATAGGGTTATTGGTGGAGGGGACAGCATGCACACAGGCCCTAAAGTGGGAAGGATCATGATACATTAAGAAAAGTAAAAGAAGGCTGATGTGGCTAAAAAGCTCTGAGTACAGGCAAGAGTAGAAACGATGGCAGTGATAAGGCAGGCAGGAATCGTTCTGTGTCAGAACATGCAGACAGTAATGAGGATCCTATCAAAGCCAATCAATTCCTCCACACTGGCTCATCCATTCTCTCTCTTCCTCGTAAGAAATTTGCTCTCATTCAGTCATCCCCTTGTCAACAGCAATAGCTTTCACTCTCCTGAATCATTGCTAGCAGAAGAGAAAATGTGTGTATCTTGGAGTAAAAAACAAACAAACAAAAAAAACCAAAACCCTTAATTGTTAATGGAATGGAAAAGTACAGTAGGGCTTCTCAACTGATAATTCAATGAATAGCAACTGGTAAAACTATCAAAATCAAGAAAAAAGCAAAAAAGGGAAGAATAATAAATTAATAAAAGATGAAGGAATAAAATTAAATAAATGTAGAATAAGCTGAATGATCTCATGAATAAATTACTTTAATCCTTAGCCAGTCTACTTCTATTGCTCTTTGCCAGCAAATGTCTGCTACAAATATCTAACAATAGATAATATTTGAATGCCTACCACTTACCAGGCCATCTTCTAAACCCTATATATGTATTAACTCATTTAATCTGAGAAGTAATCAACTGTTTGCCTTAAGTCTCCCCAAAAGTTTACAATCCCTTGGAGGGCAGAGAGATTATTTCTTACTGGTTTTCTAATTCTCAGGGAGTAGCACAGTGTCTGCCAAACATAAGAGGCATTTATTAAATGTTTGACTAATTATCAAATCATACAAAATATATACATAGAACACAAATAAAACAATCATTTAAATAAAACAGTGTGGTAAATCTTGTTTTTGTAGCTAGGCACCTGAACTGACTGACTTCCTAGTGTACTATTTTTACTTAACATAAAAAATCATACAAGAGTTCAAAATGTAAAAACGCACCCTCACACCATGAAAAATGAGAGGAAAACCCTTTCTAGGCAATTTCTCCCAGCCGAGCAAAGAATTCACTATATTAGGATCTGCACAGACTTCGAGTTCTTTATGATAAAAGAGTGTAGATGGCAATGTAAGCAACGCAGCGTGGGATCTGTAGTTCTTCACAAGCTTTGTAACCTATAAGGAGAGAATATGGGCCAATTTAATAGGGTGATCAACACACATGTACAAGCAATAGTTTTTGTCAATAGAAAAAAAAAGTTCTGCTTGGCACATGCTAAGAGCCAGATCAAACTCCACCATCACTGCACAACTCACCCTCGTCTGTGAGTACTTACTTGCATGTTCTCTTCATTTCAAAATGAAATCAGTTGTTTAGGAGGTGCTCTCACCACTAGACCAAGCTCATGAAATGACTTATTTAAGAATGTTCGGTCCCTTTGTAATAAAAATTTGGCTTCCGGAAATAAACAGACATGGATATTAGCAAAAGAGAAGACAGACTCTCTTTGAGCCTCTCGTGGGTCTGGATTTCAAGATGTCTAGACATAGCTGAGGGGAGGCAGAGTTTCTGTTAGGAGGGGAGAATTGGCTTCTGCCGCATGGAGCCAGGAAGCAAGGCAATCTTGAAAAGGATCAAGGCTGAAGGAAGGTGATATGCATATTTTATATGCCAGTGATCTGTCTGGCTACACGTGACTCTCTGGGTTCACTGCCTTGTGACTCCACTGCCTGGAAATGAGGCCTCATTTATGCTATGTCTCAGCTCAGCTGCAGAGAACGAAGGGATTCAGGGCTAATAACGCAGGGTGGTTATGTAAATGATGACAAGTTAGGGCACAGGGTGGCTATGAGATTTTTCCCTCCATCACCAACCTCAGGAGAATCTGGTTGTGACTGTATTGAGGGAGTTAATAATGATAGTATCACCAGTGTGTTGAACAAGAGCAATATAAATCATAGGTTCAGAGCAAAGTATTCCTGTACTGTACATATTTAGAGAATGTTACTTGGCTAGTACTAAGGACCAATATTACAGATTCAGGATTCTCAAACACTAGTGTTCTTGGGAGCTTCTTAAAATGCAGATGCCAGAGTCCAAATTCTGATTTGGAGGTCTGCTGAAATCCCAGGAATTTGCATTTTAATAAGCACCTCAGGTGATTCTAATGCAACTGGTAAGAGAACACTGCCTTAGCATCTTTCTTTGACCATTTTCTTTTTAGGCCAAGTTAAAAAAAAAACAAACAGTTGCCATCAAGTCAACTCTGACTCATGGTGACCTCCTGAATGTCAGAGTAGAACTGTGCTCCTTTGGACTTTCAATATAGCTGAGTTTTCAGAAGCAGATTGCCAGGCCTTTCTTCCGAGGTGCCTCTGGGTGGACTCAAATTGCTAACCTTCTGGTTAGCAGCCAAGTGTGTTAATTGTCTGCACCAACCAGGCACTCCTAGGCCAAGTTACAAAAGTTATTTCCAATTTCTCCAACATTAACAGAGTAACAGCCTACATTCTTTTCCTATAATCAACCCCATAGGAAATCTTCCATGATGCGTAACTAGGATATGGCACGTATTGCACTGGCCCAGGGCACAAGCACCACTGAGCAGTTTCTATTAACCCAGTACGGCCAGCACCGTATCTACAGAAAATGGCACCTATGGCAAGCACTGAAATTGTGCCCTGTCCAAATATCTGACACCTCTCTTTTAGATAACTTTACCATAGTCTAAGCACAAAAATACAAATAAAGTTTGCTAATCTTTTAATTAACACATTACTGTGCTTTAGGAAGGACGTTGGGCTGTACCGGGTTAATAGAAAAGGCTAAGGGGTGCCATGTACCCAGGGCTGGTGCAATACCCTAGATCCGCAACAGCAGAATGCCTGAAATTCTCTGATAACTTGAGAAAGGACTCTGATGAGACAAAGTTCAGTGTCTCTGTGACAAAAGAGCAAGTCCAGTATGTGGTTAGGGGAAATGAGTCTGAATGGGCATTCATACATTCCTGATGGAGTTTCTGTTGTCCTGCTCTACAATGAGTTTTCTCAGGTGAGAGTATTTGGGCTTCTTACAGTGGAGAGGTGTGAAAGGAATTGAAGGGTATTTCTACTTGATGGCTGAAAACTCTCTCAAATCTTGCCCTTCTTGGCATTACAGAAAACTTTTGCCATGGAGTGTGATTTTGGATGGACACAGAAATAACTGGATGCAAAGCTTAATTCACTGTTGCAAGGTTGACACAGAACTGTTCACTTATGAGCCAACGAGAATCCTTCTGTGTGGCTATTATTTGCTCTAATACAACTTCACTTACATGTTAAGATAAACTGAACAACAAAAAGGTGAATATGTTAACTTACTATCAAAGGATTGTATGCACCACAACCACCAAATGCATTTTCATCTCTCTGATATACTGGTCGAGACATCAATCTTTCCAACATAGACACATTCAACCCATAAGCCGAAGCAAATCTGGATTTAACGACTGGTCCAAGCTGCATGGGGTCTCCAGCAAGCACAATCTATGCATACGCACAAAAAAAAAAAAAAAAAAAAACCTGGATAATTTTCCCCTCAAAAGCATTTTATGTTCATAGAAATAAGACATTAAATTATCATAGAGAAGGCACAAACACCAACGTAGCTAGCTTACTTTATGTTTACTAGAGAAGCTTGAGTTGTGTTCTGCAAAGGCAAAATGTTATCATAATAGCCTTGCCAGGAACTTTACATGAAATATTTCATAAAATCTTAACAACATACCCAAAAGATAGGCCCTGTCATCTCCAATATACAGATGAAGACATTGAGATTTAGATGGTCATGGCTTGGCCAAGATTATTTAGCTACAACACAGCACAGACAGAATTTGAACCTAGGTCTGTCTGGCTCTAAAGCTGCATTTTTCCCTATAGGTATTTCCCTAACATTTACTGAATGTGCCAGACTCTGTGCTCAGTGTTTCATAAAAAAATTCAATGCAGACTGCAAGTCTCATCCAGAGCCTCAACTTTGAAGATAATCAATACTATTCTGCTTCTCTCATTCCCTTCACGCAAGGGCAGACTGACCAGTAAGGAAGGTACACATGGGCTTACTTGTGTTTACTTCTAATCTGTAGTGCACGATTTCATATGGGTTTCACCACGTCAAAAAATGAAAAACAGGTGAAATTGTGCACTACAGATTAGTAAGTAAACACAAGTAAGCCCGTGCATAGCTTGCTTATTGGCTAATCTGCCCCTGCCGTCATGTTTGCTATTGCCCAAAGTACACATCTCTACATTTATCTAACATGATTTTCCCCCTAATTATTCTTTCTTTCCTTCTGTCTCTTTTTTCAAACTTTTTAATTCAGGGATAACGCTCATACAGGAAAGTACACAAAACATAAATGCACGGCTTAATAAATTGTTACAAGGCAAATAGTCATGTAACTACCACTTAAGTTAATAAATGAAAACATTCCCATCACCCCAGAAACCACCCTAATTCCACATCCCAATCAATAGTCCTTTCCTCCTCAATGATAACCAGAATCTTCTTTTGCTATAGTTTTATTAGGACTGTTTGTGAACTTTATATAAATGGAATAAAACAGTATACATTCTTTTGTGCCTGCCTTCTTTATCTCAATATGATGTTGACTTGGCTCATGCATATTATTATGTACTGTTGCAGTTTGTTTCCAATGCTGTATTGTGTTCTACTATATGAAGATACTACCATTTATTTTTATTTTGCTGTTGACATTAGGTTATTTTCAAGTTTTGGCTATTATAGACAATGCTACTACAAATAGCTGTTGACAACTGTTGTGATTCATAGGGTTTTCATTGGCTAATTTTCAGAAGTAGATCACCAGGCCTTTCTTCCTAGTCTGTCTTAGACTGGAAGCTCTGCTGAAACCTGTCCACCATGGATGACCCTCCTGGTATTTGAAATATCAGTGGCATAGCTTCCAGCATCACAGCAACACACAAGCCACCACAGTACTACAGACTGACAGATGGGTGGTGAAAGTTGTCAATGATTTCATTCTACTTAAATCAACAATCAGTGTCCATGGAAACAGCAGTCAAAAAATCAAACAACATATTGCATTGAGCAAATCTGCTGCAAAAGACCTCTTTAAAGTTTTAAAAAGCAAAATAGCACTTTGATGACTAAGGTGTGCCTGACCCAAGCCATGGTCTTTTCAATTGCCTCATATGCATGCAAATGTTGGATAATGAAAAAGGAAGACAGAAGAATTGATGCATTCAAAAAGTGGTGTTAGCGAAGAATACTGAATATACTATGGACTGCCATAAGAAAGAACAAATCAGTCTTAGAAGAAATACAACCAGAATGCTCCTTAGAAGTGAGAATGGCAAGACTTCAGCTCGTTTACTTTGGACACATCATCAGGAAAAACCAATAGCTAGAAAAGCACATCATGTTTGGGAGAGGGTCAGCGAAAATGAGGGAAAGCCTCAATGAGATGAACTGACACATTGGCCACAACTTTAGACTCAAACATACCAATGATCATGAAGAAGGCATAGGACCGGGCAAGGTTTCATTCTGTTATATATAAGGTCACCACAAGTCAGAGCTGACTTGATGGCAACCAACAACAACATGAAGAATGCAGAACAACTGGTGGCAACACTAAGTGGTACAGCCACTTTGTAATACAGCTTGGCAGTTGCGCTGCAATTAATTACTTTTGTTTGTGGCCTTTCTAGCCATGGCCTTGTAACTCCCACCCAGGTGACTGTGTGATAGGGTAATTGTGGCCTACCAAGGGGACTGGTCAGTTTTGCCTTAAAAGAGAGCCAATTCCAGAGCAGAGGGGGAGAACCCACCACTACCAAAGAAGGAAAGACCAGCAGCAGAGACCCAGGAGATGGCGCAGTGGGCTTCCTGGCCCATGGAGCGAGAAAGCTGAGTGCCTTTGGACAAAGACTGAGGGCCAGGGAGAAGTCTATGCCTGACCTACGCATTTGGGACTTGCCAGCCTTCACAACTGCGTGAGCCATTTCCTTTATATGGTTCGTGAGTTCTGTGAGACGTTGCAGCGAATTAGGGAACCCAAAGACAGAAGGGAGAGTACTGAGGCAAAAGGGAGTAGTTGATGTTAGAGATGATGTAGTGGTATAGCATCTTGGAAAAGTTAGACATTTGGGACATCTTTAACCTCTGCCTCGTTTAGCAGTGTATTCGTTTCCTGTGGCTGCTATTACAAATGACCAAAAACTCGGTGGCTTAAAACAACCAGAAATTTATTCTCTCACAGTTCTGGAGGCCAGAAGTTTAAAATAAGTTTCACTGGGCCAAAATCACTGTAGTAGCAGGGCCCTCTTTATGTGTAATAGGTTCTAGGGGAGAATCCATTCCTTGCCTCTTCCAGTTTCTGGTGGCTATGGCACTCCTTGGCTTCTGGCTGCACAAACTCCTATCTCTGCTTCGGTTGTCACATTGCCTTCTCTTCCCTTTGACATTCTTGCCTCTCTCTTTTAAGTACCCTGTGACTACACTGGGTCTACAAGATAATCCAGGATAATCTTCCCATCTCAAGATTCTTAACTTAATCATACCTGGAAAGCCTCCTTTTGCCATTTAAGTTAACATTCACAAATTCTAGAGATTAGTACATGAACATCTCTGGAGGGAGCATTTTATAGCCTACCACAGGCAGTTTCTCATACTATTAAAATGCACTTGCCATACAATACAGCAATCATAGTCTAAATGTTCATCCAAGTGAAATTAAAACTTACGTTCACACAAAAACCTATGCATGAGTGTTTAAGTGGCTTTATTTGTGATTGCCCCAAACTGAAAACAATTCAAATGCCTTTTGATTGGTGAATGGATAACTCACTATGGTACATCCATTCAATACTATTCAGCAGTAAAAAGAAATGAACTATTGAAACACACAATGCCATAGATGAGTCTCAAAAAATTATGCTGAGTGAAAAAAACAAGTTAAAAAAGAACATATACTATATGATTCCATTTATATAAAATTCTAGAAAAAGAATGCTTTTTATTGCTACTCAGCAATATAAAGAATGAACGAATAATACATATAACATGGATGAATCTCAAAGGCATTATGCTAAGTGAAGGAAATTAGACTCAAAATGCTATATAATGTATGATCCTGTTTATATGACATTCTGAAAAAGGCCAAAATATAGTGACATAGAACATATCAGTGATTGTCAGGGGCTGGGGGTGGCAGAAGGGGTAGAGAACAAAGAGGAAGCAAGAGGGAACTTTAGGGGGTGATGAAATAGTTCTATATCTTGATTATAAAACTATATGTTGTTGTTGTTAGGTGCCATCAAGTCGGTTCCAACTCATAGCAACCCTATGTACAACAGAATGAAACAATGCCCGGTCCTGCGCCATCCTCACAATTACTGCTATGTTTGAGTCCATCGTTGCAGCCACTGTGTTAATCCATCTCATTGAAGGTCTTTCTCTTTTTTGATGACCCTCTACTTTATCAAGCATGACGTCCTTCTCCAGGGACTGGTCCCTCCTG